AAGACCAGCAAAGCTTTACACATCAGTCAGAACACTGCAAGAAGTACAAAAGTGATCCAAACATTTAAGAAAGATGGAAGTGCAACCATCTTACAGAGATGTCCACGGATGTAAACATCTGGACAGGAGCGTCTTCTGGCGTGAAGGGTTAAAGAAAGTCACCATGCAAGTTCACTGCAGTTGGCTACAGCGGTAGAAAGCCAAACTGGAGCGACCGTTCTCCGTGACGCCATACAGAGCGCACATGGGTATCGTCCACGAAGGAAGCCCCTCCTAAAGCCCACGCACCAAAAAGCACACCTAGGAGGCGTAAGTAGGGAGAGGGGCTTAAGGTACTAGGGCCCGACCGATGTGCTTTTTTTGGGGGCCGATACCGATATAAAACTTTTAACAAAGGCCGATAGCCGATAAATCTCCCTCACGAAAAAAAAAATTCTTAAGCTTAACCCCTTCATTCTCTGCCTTTTTGATGCAAACTTATTTCTCTATTACGCACCAAAGAACTGTCTCAATAACTCACGAGGGCTTCCAAGTAATGCAAATAAGATTTATTTAGCAGATCTCAAAAACAACAGAACACACAAACTCAGTCACAGCACAAATCTAACATTCAAGTTTTTTCTTGTAAACTGTGGTTTCCACAAATGCATTTTAACTTCAAGGAATATTCCACCACTCAGTAAAGTTGTGTCTTGTTAAGATTCCCCAAGTTAGACAAGTCAGAAAAAGCATTTTATAACCAGCCCAATATGATCTGGCAGCAGTTGGTTTTCTTAGTTTAGCATGAAACAATGTAAGTGAATTTACAAACTGTAGTGTTTTTCTATGTAGGTGAATGCAAGCCTTCCCTTCCATTGCTTTATGCTAAAACTGGTTACAACATGTTGTTTCTGACTTGGCTAACTCTGGGGAATCTAACAACACACACAAGTTTAGGGACAGAAGATCCCTATAAGAATATTACAATAATAAAAATACAGCAATAAATAAAACGTAATACTTGTGCTTTGTAACAAAGTAACACTCTCTGGAGGTTAACTTGGTGAACTTATTCACCCTGGACAGGAAATAATTGCACATAAGAAACATAAATAATAATAAATAAATAAAAAAGTTCCAAAACAATAATTTGTGTTTAAAGTTCAAAGGAGTGGAGCCACACAACATGAGTTCATTAAGCTGGCGCCATCTGCTGGATAGGTAGTGCATTATCGGCCGTCTTTTTGGCCGATACTGTTATTGACCCCAATATCGGCCGGCCGATATATCGGTCGGGCCCTATAAGGTACAATACATTTTTCCACCTCTAGGTGGTGATCTGGTGAATTTTTATAAAGTCTACTTCACTTATATTTATAATACATCTGTAGTTTTATCTCATGTGAATTAATGTCTGTAAGTTGCTCTCATGGTAAAAAGCTCCTGTTTCAGGAACTAGAAGCGAGCAAATCCTCATCGACTCCCATGTTAAAAATACCAATTTCACAGCAGAAATAAACATGTTTACAGCCTGGTACCAAAGCATGTTTTGGGTTTAAATTATCTAGTTTACACTCATGACAACTCTGTGAGGGTGAATTTTTTTCTCACTCTTCTGTTTAAGTGTATTAAAAGCCTAAAATTCTGTATAATTAATGAGCATCAGACCCACGTGACCACAGAGCTAGCTCCGTGGAAAGGCCTCAGCCTCGCCTGAAAACTGTTCCGTCATTTTTCAGTCTCTCAACTTAGACCAGTAGTTGTAGCGTTTGTGCGTTCTTTTTGGACATTATATGTGCAATTGTTGGACAAACTGACTTGCTGTGGAATTAATTGCACTAATAGAGCATCCAAGGAGTCTCCACTTCATTTTTTTCGATAAGTAAAATTATATTTATGTGTTTTAGGTCACTGCCGAGCTGAGCTTAGATTTTAACATGTACTGTTTAACCCTGAAATTTAAATGTAATAGGGTAAAACCCAGTGCATTTAACATAACGCTGCACTTTAGAAAATGGGTTGAATTATAACGTGTTGGTGGAGCTGGGTTCCGACTATCGGCTTGTGGAGCTCTCGGAAGACCGATGTTTTCCACCCGTTCTCCCCTCCCCGCAGCTCGGCGCATCTCAGATCGCTACGGCGCTTATCTGCTGTGCAGCTGCCGGCTTGTGGAGCTCTCGGGAGACCTCTGTGTTCCACCCGGTTTTACCCAGCGGTCAGCCTGGCGTATCTCTTGATTCAGAAGCTCTGGTGTTGTGCACAGTTGGTTGTAGCTAGGTTGCTACCTCCGTTAGCTTAGCTCCCACCTCCGCGTTAGCTTTGGGTTAGCTTCAGGTTAGCTTGTAGCTAGTTCGACCGGATGTCGTCAGTTGATCCCAGCCTTACAGCCCCACCCTCAGCTCCACCTCTCTTCCCTTTTGTGGAATTGTCTGGGCTTGACGGAACCTGTGAGACGGTCAAAATGGCGGTGGTGGCCACTCCCATTTCCCCTCAAAAACGTGTTATTGGAGCTTATGGAAATGAATTGTCCAGTGTAAACGTTGATGCTTCTGACACCAGCCCCCAGCGGATGACGGTGGAACTGCAATTTATTTCACTTCTGCATTGGCCTCAATTTCTGTCCCGCATTGTGGGAGCTTGTTTAGAATCAGAAATCATAAACCAGTATATCAAAGGTATTTAATTAATATAATGACCTTCTAAAATGGTAATAACAGCATTGCTAACAGCAGATGGTTACCCGCACTGGTCCGCACGTGTCGTCATTCTGCAGGACATTTCTGTAGTAAAATCTTCTCTAAAGAAATGTTGGACTCGTCTAAAACGCATCAGAGAAGCGGTCAAGTCTATTTGTCTACAACGTTGACAGCTGAAACCTCAGAACAGCGCGATGAGGTCACATCCTACCGTGATTCTAGGACTCAGGAAACACTGAACACCTTTCAATGAACAGCTGCTTAAAGGCTTGAAATGCAAAACAAGATTTTCAGGACATTTTCTAGAGTGGAGCACAAAAATAAGAAGTTAAAAACCTACCCAACACGAAGGACATGGGGATGAGGCTGGCGTAGTGGTTGCAGTAGATGGCCAGCTTCTCAAAATACCTTTTCTGCTCATCAGAAAGGACGAATCTAAAAAAAGGGACGAAGCAAACATGTAGTTTACTGTTAAATGACCCTAAAGCTCCATCAGACAGGTATGGGTCTCACCTGTAGGTGATGCTGATGGCCGTGTACATGGCAAAGAAAGCCAGGAACTCCTTGTACAGAACCTTGTAGATGCTTCCCTTCCAGGCCAGCAGCAGCTTGGAGAAGCCACAGAAGCGGGCGTTTGCGACTCTGGCGGTGTAGGTGACGGTCATTACTGATGGACTTCTGGTCTCCAGTCAGATAGGCTGCTTGGAAGAAAACACGACATCACTAATTAAAGGTCAGACGCCTTTAAAGGGACCGTTTATTAAGAGTGAAAACAGAAACAATGCATCCGAGAGCATCTTCTCACCTTTAATGTCCGGCTGGTCTGCTCAGAGCAACTCTGCGTTGTTGGCACCACAGAAGAAGTGACCTCGAGAGTTTACCTCTTGGCAGTGGCGTGTTCTGGACTTAATCCTCAGTGTGCCCCCGGGGTAAATCCCCAAAAACAAGGAGGAGGAGCTCGTTAGTGAGGCCCCTGACCGGGGGAGCGGCGCGCCATGATGGACCACAAACGACAGGCCGCGGCGCCACGCCGCCAGCTGCAGCAGGACATCACGAACCAGCAGCAAGTGGACCATGCAAACGTTTGTGTGAAACCAGGTCAAAACTAAGGATCTGAAATTATAACCTAGAACACTGATGCTTATAAATGACCTGTTTATTATGGGATGAATAATTCCCCTAAAAAACATAGAAGCTGGTAAAATGAACACAAACACACAGCAGCTGAGGAAAGTTTGTTTTTTATTCACACTCCCAATAAAATTTAAATAAAACCTATAGAAAACAGATTCTTGTCGACTCCGACGCTTTCAGAAGAGCAGGAAACACGATCAACGGTCTTTTCTGAAGATTCTTACAATCATTTTAGACTGAGAAACAATCATTTCAGTTCACAAATACCATCGCTCTTTATTCATGTGGGTATGCAGCCAGGCGGTCTCCCGGGGATCTGGTGAGAGAACAAACTCCGCCCGAGCAGCCGTTCCCCTTTACCATAATTACTACATTTAATCACCACTTCTCGTATTGGTGTCATCCTCACCATCAGAAAGCTGGATGGACGCACGAGAGACGAGTTTGAATCCAGACCAAATCACGGCGAGTAAACGCGGCGATGGCGCCGCCCGCCTGCAACGCTCAACGCCGTTTCCACATTGGAGGCTGTAAACCAGACAGGAGGGCTGTTAAACACATTAAGACTAAAACGACGGTGAGAGAGGATGAAGTGTGAGTGAAGCGGCGTTAAACGGCCCCGTCGCAGCGAGACGTGGGCCGTGACCCAATCGGCGCAGGAATGTTGGTCGTTGCTCTGCCTAGGAGGACTGAGGATGGAGGGATGGAGGGAACCACTCGGAGAAGCTTCAGACTGTTGAGGGTGGGGGAGGGGGGTTGAGGAGAAGGTCCAGCAGATGGGGGGGGCTCACTTGTTGGGGGGTTTGTAGGGTTCCAGAAGCTGCTTAGAGAACGTGTTGACCTTGTCGGCACCTCGGACTTCATGGGGCAGCAGTGGAAGCTTCACTATGTGGAAATCTTCATAAAGGTCCTCCATCTGCACCAAAAGGACAAGAAGCCGTTTACCTCCCTGTTCAGGTAATAAACACTCAAATCTATACAAGTGCTTCGAGTCATTCCTCCACCTTTAAAAACGCCGCGCCCTTACCTGATCTAAATACTTGGACTGAATTTTGTGACGAGCTTCACACATTTTACACGACTTCTCCGTATCTGGGAACACGAGCTGGTTGACGATGATGTTGTGCGTGTCGATGCGACACTTGGCAAGCTCCTGGATCAGCCGCTCGGTCTCGTAGAGCGAGAGAAACTCAGCGATGCACACACAGATGAAGGTGGTCTGTTCCTAGAGGGAAAGTCGGAGTAGAGAATCGTTATAGCTCTCGGTGGCTAAATCGTTAACTACAGACGCATCTGAACTTAAAGCAGCACTACAGAGTTTGAAACACTCCAAGCTGTCGCCTTCAAACCGGTTTCGGTGGTTCTTGAGCAGCTGCACACTGGACAGCACTCTGCTGACCAGAAACTGCACTAAACAGCTTTGGTGTTTGGGTCAGCACCCGTGGAAACCTGCTTTATGGGAACAGCCGTTTACTGTGTCGGTGGCTAATATAAAGGCTAGCAGTCAGCTTTTTCTGTTGGCCAACCGTCGATAAAGCACAGGGAGAAGTAGTTAGTAGGGGGCACCGATTGCAGTTCTTGGCTGATCGCTGAGCTTGAAAAAAAAAAAAAAAAAGATTGGGGCCGATAGATCGGTGCATCCCTGGTAGTTAGCTTTTTCTGTTGGCATAAAGGCGGAGCCTGGAAGGAAAAGTAAGAGCATAATGTCTTTGGAGAAGCAAAGAGCTAAAAACCAGAGTGAACATCGGCGCAGCCTACGCTAGCTTGATGGAGCTAAAGGAGGCAACAAAATAACAGACCGAGTGTGACCTGGCTTTCAATTGAATTAAATTCAAAAATACTTCATTAATCCCAGAGGGAAATTGATTGCTGTAGTAGCTCAGAATAATATTAATAATCAAGTCATCAAAGAGTTATTGTATATTACAATGGCTGTTGGCAGGAAGGAGCTCCAGTAGCGGTCAGTGTTGCAGCCAAACTGAAGAAGCCTCTGACTGAAGACACTCTTCCGTTGTCGGACAGTCTTGTGCAGCCGTCCTACTGCATGCCCACTCGACCCCATTCCGACTAAGCTGCTCCAAGCTATTGCTCCTACAGTAGCCGCATTAGTCACACATGTGATCAACGCATCACTGACATCCGGTACATTTCCCACCTCTCTCAAGCATGCTCAGGTTAAACCGCTGCTAAAAAAAACAAAACATCTCTTCCTCCAAATCATGTGGAGAACTACCGACCAACCCTCTTTTCCTCCCTAATTCTGTCCAAAATCACTGAAAGGGTGGCTTTCAAGCAGATCACAGAATACCCTCTCTCAAAACTGTCTGCTTGACCCTTACCAATCTGGGTTCAAAAAGGGCCACTCCACTGAAACTGCTCTGTTAGCAGTGATGGAATCCTTAAAAGAAGCTAGAGCGACTGCCAAATCCTCAGTGCTTATCCTGCTCGACTTATCGGCTGCATTTGACACTGTCAACCATGGCTTCCTTTTGTCCACACTCTCTAGCATGGGCATCACAGAGAAAGCACACGCCTGGTTTGAATCGTACATCACAGGACAATCATTCAGTGTATCTTGGCTTGGACAATCCTCTACCGTGCACCATCTTGCCACGGGAGTCCCCCAGGGCTCTGTACTAGGACCTCTTCTCTTTGCCATATACACCACCTCACTGGGTGAGATAATTCAATCACATGGCTTCTCCTTCCACTGCTATGCAGACGACACCCAGCTCTATCTGTCATTTCCACCGGAAGACCACACTGTCTCTGCACGAATATCAAACTGTCTCTCTGACATATCAAAATGGATGAAATCCCACCATCTCCAACTCAACCTCTCTAAAACTGAATTAATTGTCATCCCAGCAAAACCATCCATACAGCACAATATCTCAATCCAAAATGACTTCCTATCTCTGGCTCCTTCAAAGGCAGTTCGAAATCTGGGTGTTGTGATCGATGAACACCTGACCTTTAAAGATCATGTTACCTCTGTTGCTCGTTCATGCCGCTTTGAGCTGTATAACATACGAAAGATCAGACCATACCTAACACAACATGCCACCCAGCTCCTGGTGCAATCTACTGTCATCTCCCGCCTCGATTACTGCAATGCCCTTCTAACTGGTCTTCCAGGCTGTACTGCGAGACCTCTTCAAATGGTCCAGAACTCAGTGTGGTCTTCAATCAGCCAAAAAGTGCAAACGTCACCCCTCTGTTCATTGAGCTCCACTGGCTACCGCTAGCAGCACGCATAAAATTCAAATTGCTAACATTAGCATACAAAGTCCGAGATGGTACGGCTCCCATCTACCTGAATCCTCTTGCAAAGGCTTACGTCTCGGCCCGGCCCTCCGGTCATCACAGGATCGTCGGCTAGCAGTGCCTACACCACGTTCAGGACAATCCAGACTCTTCTCATGCATCGTTCCACAAATGTGGAACGACCTACCAAGCACTACCAGAACAGCGGCTTCCTTTTCAATTTTCAAGAAACTCCTGAAGACCCTGCTCTTCAGAGAGCATCTTCTAAACTAGCACCCTCCCTGCACCCTGCACCCCCCTCTCTACTGTCCACTCTTTGTTCACTCTTCTCCATGATTCATCATGCTGCCTCACTGCCACCTACGACTGACTGGAAATTGTTTGTTGTTGTTGCTGTTGTTAACCTCAAGGGCAACATGCCGATTATCACTTGTAAGTCGCTTAGGACAAAAGCGTCTGCTAAATACATAAAGATAAACATGGAATGCTCAGGGTTGTCCATAATTTTCTTGATTCTCTGGAGAATCCTTCTTTGCATTATCTCCTCCAGTGGTTCCACAGTCGTCCCCAGAACAGAACCAGCCTTTGTTATTAAGCTGTTGAGCCATTTCAGGTCCCTGCTTCTGATGCTCTGTTGCTATTGGATTTGTAAGTAATAATATTTTTTTCCCAATAGTTACTTTGTGTTTTATTTTAGTATTAGTTGGCTCATGCAAGTGTTAGCTCGTTGTTAGCGCTAGCTACAGCAGGGTTGTTTACGACAGCTGCAAAACCACTTTCAACCAGTAGGGTGGAGGAGCAGGAAACTGTTTAGTGTTGCTTTAAATACACGATTTTTTAAAACTCTTACAGGATCTTTGAACTGCTCACTGACGGAGCGAATGACCGGGAGGGTTTCCTCGAGCTTGGAGGCCAGCTGGTCTGCGTTCATGTCGCCCAGACCGAGCATGTTACACATCTAAACAACACAACACACAGACAACTCCGTTTAAACGTTGTACACATCATCTAAACACAGCTATACACATCATCTAAACACAGCTATTCAAACTGCTGGTCCCATCACCTGAGAGATGAAGGGGCTGATCTGATTCTTTATCTTCATCAGGCGACCCAGACCTCGCTCCACGATGGTGGGGAAGTTGAGCAGCCTCAGCGTGTGGCCGGTGGGGGCCGTGTCGAACACCACCACAGAAAAGTTCATTCCCTTTACTAACCTGATGCACAGGCAGGATAAAGAAATCACGTCAACACTGATTCTAAACACTTGAAAAAACTGCTCGATATGACTGAGTGTTTTCACCTCATGACCTCTGCATAGCTCATGGCTTCATCGATACCGGGGAAAGCACTCATGGCCTCCTGCATCATCTTCTTGCCCATGCTGAGCATGTTGTCCTCCTCAAAGAACTCATCAGGCAGCTCTGCGACACCCAGGCTCGGGTCAATCTCCTGCAATAAGGCACGACAGGAAACAGGTGAGCAAAACACACAAACCGTCTGACGATTTGTTCCCACCCTCCAGCGATTCAGCATTTCTATCGCTGCTTTATCAAACAGTTCTTGGGAGACTCACAGATCTCTTAACACTGACACAAGATAAATAAACCTCTTTATTTGGCCTCCTTGCTCTTCTTGTTTGAGTGTGTAAAAATATTTTTGTTCTTTTAAACATGTTAAGGGATTTTTAGGCATTGCATTGCTTACCATAGCAAAGAGGTTGTCATATCCTTTGACTTTAGTAGGCACCTTAGAGAACTTCTGGTCAAAGGCATCGGAGATGTTGTGGGCGGGATCGGTGGAGATGATCAGGACGCTCTCCCTGACAGCAGCCAGCTGCACCGCTAAGCTACAGCTATGGAAAACATCAAAATTAAACACTCAAAAAAAAAACTCCTTATGTCAGCAACCCAGTTTGTACTCAACGGTTTTCCAGCACTGCAAAAATGTTTGCGTCAGCTCTCTGTGTAATTTTCTTTCAATGAGCTAATTTCTGTTGTAAACCCACAATACTGGGCAACGTGTCCTCAGGCTGGGTTTCCTTTGGAAAATATTTGGCGCTTTAGTGCATTTTAGTTAAAATTTTAATTTTCTGCCTAAAACTCTGTGTTGTGTCGTCGTCAGGTTAAAACTGCACTGTATTTGAATTCAAATCTGCCATCGCTATTGGCTAAGAGGTACCCTATGATGTTAGCTGGTACATTATGATGTCACAATGCCGTGAGCGCGTGTGTGCGCGCAAGCGCCTTCTCGGTCTGCTGGGCAACAGCATTTGTGGCATTTTTCAAACAGGAAGTGGGAGTGGAGTAAGAACCTGGCAGGAGCGACTTTTAAAGAGCAAGTCACCCCCTACCAGAGTATTACTCCACTCCCACTTCCTGTTTGAAAAATGCAACAAATGCTGTTGCCTAGCAGACCGAGAGGGCGCACGTACACGCACACACACACACACAGGCTCACAATCACAATGACATTGTGACATCATATGGTACCAGCCAACGTTCTAGGGTACCTCTTAGCCAATAGCGATGGCAGATTTAAATTCAAATGCAGTGCAGAGTTTTTACCTGACAACAGCACAACACTGACAGTTTTAGGCAGAAAATTAAAATTAACTAAAATGCACTAAAGTGCAAAAATATTGACTACACGTGTCTGCAGCACGATTAGACACACATTTATATAGTTTATCAAAAAAAAGTAGATTTGGGGGTGACTTGCTCTTTAAATAAGCAGTGATTCTCTCAGCTGTGATGTAAGAGTTTCTGTCCGGTGTTCCAACTATACGTGCTCCCCGTGGAAATGTGCTACTTTGGGGAAATGCGCATGCGCAGGCTGATTATTGCGTCACAGGCTGTTTACAAGTCGAGACGCGCTACCTGTGGAAGTTAATGTTCAATCTCATCAATAATCTAGTTACTTTCAACTCGTCGAATGTCACAGTAAGTATTTCTTTAAGTTGTTTTATTAAATGACTGCTTGCTGTATGTTTACCTGACAGTTAGCTTGTAAATGGCTTCTAAAATATCGTTATACTGTAAACAATAAATTTCTCCCATTGTTTACAGTCATTCTGAAAGAGTCCCAAATTAATATCCAAAATTTTATATTATACATATAATATATAATAGTTGTATAATCTCCAAAATTATACATTCAAACAAATAACTATAAGTATTGGGGGGAAAACATATTTGTTCTATGTGTTTTAATTTGTCTAATAAAGGATTAGGCTGAGAAATAGAACGGTAAGAGGTAACGTCTTACAAATCTCCATTTTTATGAATCACTTTCTCGACATGGGTGAAAGTAGTTGGTAAATCGTCATTGTTCTGAGAATATTCAAATGTTTTTAGCAACTAAGGGTGTAAATGCAGTTTAAGCAACTTTTTTGTTCAAAGTTTCACCACAAGATGGCACTGTGATTTTGTTAATGCCCTAGAAAGTTTATTTAACATGTTTATTATTTTTCATGTTTTCAATACATTTCGTAGCATTTACACAGAATGCACAGAATTAATAATTTTTGATATTTGAGTAATTTTGAATTGGTTTATTTTGATATGGTGTGTTTAAGAGCGCTGTGACGTCACTACCTGTCTCTCGTAGCTTCGGAGATTTTATTGATGCGCACGGACAATTTGTGCCAATTAAGAACATTTGAGAAGAAGGTTAAGTGTTTTCAAGTCTACCGGTTTGTCTACTAGCGGGCCAAAGTGGTATGTTTATCCTTTATTTATAAACTCTGTATGTTAGCAAACTTAAGGCAAATAACTTGTTAATTTGTACATGATTTATGCTTTTTCATTAGTTCTACGGTGTTCGTCGTCGTCGTCTTCCTCCGCTTATCCGGGTCCGGGTCGCGGGGGCAGCATCCCAACTAGGGAGCTCCAGGCCGTCCTCTCCCCGGCCTTGTCCACCAGCTCCTCCGGCAGGACCCCAAGGCGTTCCCGGACCAGATTGGAGATGTAACCTCTCCAACGTGTCCTGGGTCGACCCGGGGGCCTTCTGCCGGCAGGACATGCCCGAAACACCTCCCCGGGGAGGCGTCCAGGAGGCATCCTGACCAGATGCCCAAACCACCTCAACTGGCTCCTTTCGATCCGGAGGAGCAGCGGTTCTACTCCGAGTCCCTCCCGAATGTCCGAGCTCCTCACCCTATCTCTAAGGCTGAGCCCGGCCACCCTACGGAGGAAACTCATTTCGGCCGCTTGTATCCGCGATCTCGTTCTTTCGGTCATTACCCAAAGCTCATGACCATAGGTGAGGATTGGGACGTAGATCGACCGGTAAATCGAGAGCCTGGCTTTCTGGCTCAGCTCCCTCTTCCCCACGACAGATCGGCTCAGCGTCCGCATCACTGCAGACGCCGAACCAATCCGCCTGTCGATCTCCCGATCCCTCCTACCCTCACTCGTGAACAAGACCCCGAGATACTTAAACTCCTCCACTTGAGGTAGGACCTCTCCCCCGACCCGGAGGTGGCAAGCCACCCTTTTCCGGTCGAGAACCATGGTCTCAGATTTGGAGGTCATGATCCTCATCCCAGCCGCTTCACATTCGGCCGCGAACCTACCCAGCAAGAGCTGAAGGTCAGAGCTGGATGAAGCTAGGAGGACCACATCATCCGCAAAAAGCAGAGACGAGATTCTCCTGCCACCAAACTCGACAAACTCCACACCACGGCTGCGTCTAGAAATTCTGTCCATAAAAGTGATGAACAGAACCGGTGACAAAGGGCAGCCCTGGCGGAGTCCAACCCTCACTGGGAACAGGTCCGACTTACTACCGGCTATGCGGACCAAACTCACGCTCCTCTGGTAAAGGGACTGAATGGCCCTTAACAGAAAGCCACCCACCCCATACTCCTGGAGCGTCCCCCACAGGGTGCCCCTGGGGACACGGTCATAAGCCTTCTCCAAATCCACAAAGCACATGTGGATTGGTTGGGCAAACTCCCATGCCCCCTCCATCACCCTTGCAAGGGTATAGAGCTGGTCCACAGTTCCACGGCCAGGACGAAAACCACATTGCTCCTCCTCTATCTGAGATTCAACTATCGATCGGACCCTCCTCTCCAGTACCTTGGAGTAGACCTTTCCAGGGAGGCTGAGGAGTGTGATCCCCCTATAGTTGGAACACACCCTCAGGTCACCCTTCTTAAAGATGGGGACCACCACCCCGGTCTGCCACTCCCTAGGAACTGCCCCCGATGACCACGCAATGTTGTAGAGACGTGTCAACCATGACAGCCCTACAACATCCATAGCCTTGAGATACCCTGGACGAACCTCATCCGCCCCCGGGGCTCCGCCGCTGTGTAGTTGTTTGACTACCTCAGCAACTTCTGCCCCCGAGATCGGACAGTCCATCCCCAGGCCTCCCAGCTCTGGTTCCTCCTCGGAATGCGCATTGGTGGGATTGAGGAGCTCCTCAAAGTATTCCTTCCACCGTCCGACTATAGCCTCAGTTGACGTCAGCAGCTCCCCATCCCCACTGTAAACAGTGTGAGCGAGTTGCTGCCTTCCTCTCCTGAGGCGCCGGACAGTTTGCCAGAAGCTCTTTGGAGTCGATCGATAGTCTTTCTCCAAGGCCTCACCAAACTCCTCCCACGCCCGAGATTTTGCCTCGGCAACTGCCACTGCTGCACCCCGCTTGGCTATCCGGTACCTGTCTGCTGCCTCCGGAGACCCACAGACCAGCCACGCCCTGTAGGCCTCCTTCTTCAGCCTGACGGCTCCCCGAACCTCTGGTGTCCACCAGCGGGTACGGGGGTTGCCACCACGACTGGCACCGGCCACCTTACGACCACAGCTAGCAACAGCCGCCTCGACAATCGCAGAGTGGAACAAGGCCCACTCGGACTCAATGTCCCCCACTGCTCTCGGGACGTGGTCAAAGCTCTGCCGGAGGTGGGAGTTGAAGACCGTCTTGACAGGTTCTTCTGCCAGGCGTTCCCAGCAGACCCTCACTATGCGTTTGGGTCTGCCAGGTCTACGCTGCATGTTCCCTTGCCATCTGATCCAACTCACCACCAGGTGGTGATCAGTTGACAGCTCCGCCCCTCTCTTCACTCGGGTGTCCAAAACATACGGCCGCAGGTCAGATGATACGACTACAAAATCTATCATCGACCTGCGACCTAGGCTGCCCTGGTACCAAGTGTACCGGTGGGCATCCTTATGTTCGAACATGGTGTTCGTTATGGCCAAACTGCGGCTTGCACAGAAGTCCAATAACAAAACACCGCTCGAGTTCAGATTAGGTGGGCCGTTCCTCCCAATCACACCCCTCCAGGTCAAGCTGTCATTGCCCACGTGAGCATTGAAGTCCCCCAGCAGGACAATGGAGTCCCCTGATGGAGCACTATCTAGCACTCGTCCCAGGGACTCCAAAAAGGGTGGGTACTCTGAACTGAAATTTGGCCCATAAGCACAAACAACAGTCAGGACCCGTTCCCCGACCCGAAGGCGCAAGGAAGCTACCCTCTTGTCCCCCGGGGTAAACCCCAACACACAGGCAGAGAGTCTCGGGGCTAACAAAAAGCCAACCCCAGCCCTCCGCCTCTCACCCGGAGCAACTCCAGCAAAGTAGAGTGTCCAACCCCTCTCCAGGTCTCGGGTTCCAGAGCCAATGCAATGTGTCGAAGTGAGTCCGACTATATCTAGCCGGTACCGCTCAACCTCTGCCACAAGCTCCGGCTCCTTCCCCGCCAGCGAGGTGACGTTCCATGTCCCAAAAACTAGTTTTCTTGTCCGGGGATTGGACCGCCAAGGCTCCCGCCTTGGTCTGCCACCCGATTCGCATTGCACCGGACCCTTCATGTTCCTCCTGCGGGTGGTGGGTCCACAGTTGGACGAGCCCATGTATCCGGTTCGGGCTGGGCCCGGCCGGGCCCCATGGGCGAAAGCCCGGCCACCAGGCGCTCGCTCACGGGCCCCAACCCCAGGCCTGACTCCAGGGTGGGACCCCGGTAACCCTCCGGGCCGGGTACTCCGACTCTTCGTTTTAACCGCCATGAAAGATCCTTCGAACCGTTCTGTGTCTCACCCTTCACCTAAGACCAAATTGTCATGGGAGACCCTACCAGGGGCACTAAGTGCCCCAGACAACATAGCTCCTAGGATCATTAGGGCACTCAAACTCCTCCACCACGATAAGGTGACGGTTCAAGGAGGTGTTCATGTGGTGTAAAGATAAAGAAGATGCAAGACCGCATTAAACATCAGTAAAAGGAACGCTCGTGTCTCTCGTGTATGTGAACAAGCCGGCACAAAGGGGTTAATTTTTACGAAATGACTAAAATGCTTCTTACACTATCCACTTTTTTTCTCCATAAAATAAATTAACAGTAGCTAACATGGACAGACTGAATCAGCTGTTGAAATGCGCGTTGGTAAGAAAATTCGACGAGGAAGCACATAGTCAGAACACCGGAATCGTTTTCCAAATCTGAGAGATGACCTCTAATAATTTATCTACAGCTGATTGTTTACAGTATCAACACTTTCTCCTTGATCTTTCCTCCTTCTTCCATTTTTAATGTCACAAAAAGCTGCCGTCTATCAGAAAAGCCTTCAGAAATCCAGGAGAAGTGTTGATTATGTCTTTAAACAAAGGATGGATAAAAGACTGAGAACCTTATGCAGAAGGCTGTACACTTGGCCTATCAACGTATATCTGGTTCATATCGAACAAATAAAGTTGATAAAAGTTTAGAAAGTGACTTAAAACCTTCACAAGTTTTCCAAAACAACTGAACGAAACGAACATGTTCATAACGGCTTTTCAAACACGGGCACGTGTGATTCCCTTGGGTCCATCACTGATTTACTCTCGAGTGTTTGGGCTGAAGCAACATCTGCAGATAGTCCAACAGGTTCCATCGTGATTCTTGTTCAAACAGCTGAAAACAAGTAGCTAAAACCTGATGAATGCATGTGTCATCTTGCTAACTTTAGCTGCTGACTGGGCTAGAAAGCGTTCAGTTGTCGACAATCATCGAACGATGATACTTTACTTGACACACAACATGAAGACTTTAGTTTAAAATCGGTACAATGTTAAGAAAAAGGCCTGCCCCTTTATTTTACTGAAACTGACACATGTCAAATTCTGAGTTGACACCTAGCTAGCTGCGTTAGCTAGCTCAGGTCGATGTGAGCACTTCCTGTACTTTACCTGCAGGTGGTTTTACCGACACCACCTTTCCCACCAACAAAGATCCATTTCAGTGACTTCTGTTCGATGATATTCTTCAGAGTTGGCTCTAAAGGCTCCACGTCGGGCGCATCTTCGAATTCGTCTTCCATCGCAGAAGCGGCAGCCATCTTGCTTGTACACAGACAAGACCGGTGCGTTCAAGGCTCCTCGGAATTCCGAACAGTCCAGCGGGTGTTTATGCGTTAGTTGTGAGTAGCTCTTGAGATGCTACTGGCTATTTTTATTCATTTAATTACCTTTAATGTTATTTTAGACTTTGTAAACTGAATATCATACACGTGTGATCAAAAGAAAAGCGTTAAAGCACACAAACTAAAAGACAACATCCTGTAAAAATTGTAGTTTACAAGTTCTGCCTCTGGATGATTCGTCACGTGACGTGGGGTGCGTTTGTTGACAGGGTACTTTTGCCAATGAAACACCATCATGGTGGTCTTCCATCAGACCACCAGTGAAATCTATAAAATATGAATCTGTTGGATGACATAATAGACTTCTTCATAGTTAGTTTGTACAAAGAATATTCTTTTGCCCCTTTTAACAGTCTTACTCTTTTATACTTTTTAATTTTTTGTTGTCATGAAGCGATTTGCGATTATTGAGAGGTGCTATGTAAAAAATGTTTTTTCTTCTTTCTACCTCCTAAAAGTCATGATTGTTAAAAAGATAAATTTATGTGCACACACAACAAAGAAGTGGTGCCAAATTTAAGGCAACATTTTTTTTAGTTTTACTGTTGTTGCGGAAGTGTTTTATCATCTTATTATTGTTTAAGTGATAAATGAGGTAATGTTGTTGGGTTTATAGCAACAGAGGTTGTAACAGGATTTTAAAATGTGAAATAATTTGTTAAGAAAACACTTTTGGTGTTTTAAGCAACATTTGTGTATCATTATCTTGATAATTGGTACAATACCAAACCAGAAACACGAGGAGAAAGGAAACTTAATGTAGTGTTTTTTATCTAAAAATAAATCTTAATTCTTAAAAACTTTTACTTTATTTGTTTGATTGAAATAATTTTTTTATATATTTTTATTTTATTCCGTTATTTTTAATAGTTTTATTTGAAAACGTTTCTTTGTTGCATTATACATATATTCTCCTCCTTTATATTCTACATAAAGCTGCCTTTTATTAGATAAACCTGTTTTAACCCATTACAACTTTTTTTCTTAGTTCTAGTTGATACAAAACATGTTCATGAAGTTTTCTACACAAAATTCCTCACAGCAGCATTATTCTTAACCGTTTTAATACCTTCCAGAATGAGCCGTTTCAAGGATCTGTCACTTTAAGAAAACAAGCTGGAGCTGGCCACACCCACTCGTCACCTGATATGCTGCTGTAAGCTGAGAGGCTCAGAGTAGAGCTGCTTCTTCTCCAGCCTAGAGAGGCAAGGGAGGGTCCCGCCAGTTTGTGATGTCACAAACAGGGACTTTTTGAAATGGCTGTTAAAGGCTATTCATTTTTAAAATCAAACACTGACAGACAGAATATGCATGGACGTTAACATTTGGAGTGTTTATAGAGGCAGCAAAGACTGTCATGGCAGCACTTTAGGGTTCTACAACCCCCCAAGGCACTTCACAACACTGTAGTGATCTATAGTTTGTATATTTATACACTGTAATTAGAGCTAAATATTATAATCAGAAGTGGTTGTTTTTATCATCAGGGAGTTTACTTAAACACTCTGTATTGACTGAGAGACAAGAAAAGAGAGAGTTGGGATCGTTTAAGAATCTTTAATTTTTATAATTATAAATTCTTACAATCTACCAGGACTATCTCAATGATGAATGCATACGTATTTGAATGTTATAGTGTTGGTGTGTGTGTGTGTGGTTCAGAATCTCTAGGCTGACGTAGCGAATCTGGTTGTTATGACTAGGCTACCACGAGGCTTCAGAAGCTGATGACATGAGCCGCCATTTTGCCGTAACCACGTACCCTGTGGAGCCTCCCGTGTAGATCAGGAATTGCCAGGTCCTCGGACCTTTAGATGTGTGGAGCTGGTGAAACAGCGGTCGCAACACTACAAAGCCCGTCTGAGGGTCGACTCCGGTAGCAGCGGCAGGCGTCAGCGAGTTCACTCTTATTTTGAAGGGACGTCGTCTTGTTGTTCAGACGACGGAAATCTCCAGCTTGACAGTTCTCTGCTTAAAGTAGGAAAGTGCAGCTGGCCAGTCTGCACCTCTCTTTAATGATGACGAAGGACTCCTTAGGACCTCCACTGAACAGAACTGAGGTTAAAATGGAACTGAGTATAAAATGGCGTTGCCTTGTTTTATATCCCCTAGTTGTTTTCAAATCTTAGTAAACCGGATTGGACAACTTCATTAAACAACCCAGATTCTGCCCTACCACAGACGAAAGTTCTGATTGGTTGAGAACAATGTGTCATGCGTTTCCATGGTAATGTAGATCAGTCTGTCTGGTGCGTGTTTATTCATTAAACACATAACTCATGACATCTTTATTTCACAGATCATTCACCTGATTATTAATGATCAACATCTGCTTTGATTAGCTTTATCACGAATAAAGTACTTTGATTAATTAATGGAAAGCGTTTTTCTTCTCTTCTTCTGTCTCTTCTGGAATGTAAACATACTGAAACCAGCATCCGACCTTGGCGATTCCTACACGTTGTTGCTGTGTGAAGGGGCAGCTGTTAAGGACAGACAATAGGATCTTAATAACGCTACAACACAATCAATCAGCTACTATGTAGCCATAGCTGCCCTGAGGCGTGCTGACAGAGGCAAGGCCTGCTGAACACAGGCGTCACCGGTCCCTCCGATCACCGCCAGCAGGCGAGGTGGGTTAAGTGTCTTGCCCAAGGACACCACAGCAGCATTATCTGGTCAGAGCCAGGATTGAACCTGCAACCTACTGATTACTGGACAACCCGCTCTACCTCCTGTCCCTTTTTGGCTTGTTGTTCAAGTCGGCAACTCTAGTGTTCCGAGTTATCTGAATTAGAAAAACACAAACAGCAAATCAGCTTACTCAGCATTTTAGCAAAGTTAAATGAAAAAGCTGCAGATGGACTCCTCGACTCTCCTGAGAAAATCATTTAGTCACAGGAACACACACACGAAGTGACCACAGGACATGAAGCGCGTCACCAATTCGGTTTTGCTGTCAGACTTTTCACCTCCTATCCTTCTGGATTCATCACTTTCATCTCTGATTTCCAAACAGTGCCAGGCCAGGATCCATACGCGTGCTGTCTGAGCTCGCACGCACCTCATCCCGCTGGGGAAGGAGCAGCTTGGCTCCACGTCTGCTCCGCCACAGTCGGTCTGTCGCAGTCGGCGTGGCCAGAAAAATAGGCCCAGATCCGCCCACCGGTGGTGCAGTTTACACACTGCAGAGTCCAACATCCAGGCTCGGACTGATACGGCGACATCTGAAGAAAGCAAGCCAAGGTCCAGATCTGCAGCCTCATTCTCCAGCATCTGTCGACGGTTTGCTGCCGCTCCTTTCAGCTCTAGAGAGGAATTCAGCTTTTCTTTGTAGGAGGTGTAGCTCTGAGAACGTCCTTTCTGCAAAGGCGGATCGATCGACATCCAGAACGGATCAAAGGAAGATCCAAGAAGATGCAGGAGGCGAGGAGGGCGGCAGTGTCTGGGTTTGGGCATGTAGTGATAGTCATCAGCACTGGCCAGAAGGGTGCAAGGTCAGACTGGCTGAGAGTACGTAGGCAGATGAGCTCTCAGCTGTAGAAACGGAGAGTCCAGAGCCGTGTCGTCCTGGTCTTTAAGCAGAGCCCCAGTTGGAAGCTGGTGTTGAACAAGAGCAGATCCAGGCCAAACGAAACGGCGTAAACATGGCCTCTGCATGTGGAGGGTCTGGACACTTGTCCCTTTCTGTCTTCATCTTCACCTGCTGAGGTGTTTTGCTCCCAAAAGCAGAAGTCACCGAGTCTAAGAGTCTTATCACACAAACAGGGCGTTATTGAGCAAGGCAGCGCATGTTCCCCCTCGCCCAGAAGGTTCTGCTGTTTGGACTAAACCCGCAGATCTGGAGCACTTCGGTTCGGTCTGACTGGAGTTTTAAAAATGGAGATTTTTCATTTATAATTTTAGCTTTCAGACAGAAAAAACATTTTCAATTTAAAAGATTAAACTTTATGAGAAATTTATTCAGATTTTACACTAAATCGACTTTTATGATCAAAGACACATCACAGTGTAATTTCTCACACATCTTTATTTATAAATTGTTATTGCTTAATTATAAACACTAGTTTTTATTTGCATTCTTATTATAATAAATCTTAAACAGTCTCATAAAGTGGTTTTCATGTACATGAAGACACCCGACCGCAGATGTAGAAGAAGTATCATCTGCGTAAAATGAGTTGATCAGGATGCGGTCGAGTCGAGTCCAGGTCTGATCCAGATGTTTACACTCAGACTGAATTTATCCTTCACGATTCCGTTCCCGTCCTCGGTTCTCACTCAGAGGGAGAAGAGCTGGTCATGTGACTTGTCCTGTTGCCGGGCAGGTTGTGGCGGAGGTCTGGGCGTGGAGGACGGCACGCTGCGAATCGTCTGGTTACTGTGGTCCGCCGCCTTCGCCCGATCCTCCAGAAACTTGTCGAACTCTGGGGGGAGGGGCTAGTTATTAATACGAGCTCAAGCAAAAAGGAGGAAGGTTGTTTTGTGCACACACACACACACACGGAAA